TATATATATATATAAACTACATATCCGAAACGATTTATTATTATATTCGAAGACACAAGATATCAAAGATGCATTTCGTTGCACGCATGACGTATCATTTTATCTTTGTAATATTCTGCGGACAAGAATGGTAAAATGATACATCGTGCATATTATGCGTGCAACGGAATGCAATCAAAGTTGAAAATAAAATTTTTATAAAAATTTCGAAAATTATTCGAATTATTTTGATGAAACTTTATATTACTTTTAAAAACATGAAAGTTTCAGTAAAATAACCTGAGTGATTTAAAATTTTATGATAAAATAAAATTTTTCCTTCAATTTTGACACTATTTGTATTTTTGAAATTATAATAATAAACTATTTCGAGCACACAGTTATATGAAGTTTTTATCTTGAATTAATGTGAGGAATTATCTTTCAACATCTTTTAAAATATTTAAAAATCACCTAGTATATTATTATTATTATTATTATTATTATATTATAAAATATTTAGATAAATTTGACAAGATAGGTAAAAAAAAGATAGATAAATTTTGACAAGAAGCATGCACTTAGAATAAACTTTAAAATGTGCAAATGTATATGTATTAAAATGTTTATAATTCTACATGTATTCAGCAAGGATTTAAATTTGTAGTATAAATCATGTAATTAATTATTTATTATAATAGAAGAGATTTGATAGAAGTATTATAAAAATTTTTAATGTTATATTTTAACAAAAATTTATATAAAATATAAAATATTTTTTTCCATAATAATTGTCAAACGATTCTTTCATTATTTAGAGTAAATGCGAAAATAATTTTAAGTCGACTTCTTATTTGACGAAAAGGATTGTCTTTCAACATTGTGCAAAACGCGCAAGTCACGCGCCGCTTTTCGTCGATTAACGATCGGTGAGTTTAAGGAATTAGCGCGAAATCCTGGCCGAAGATTTCGGTCAAGCTCCTAATGACCCATTTCCAGAGGCGCATGCTCGAGCGTGTCCAATGTTACTTTAAGGTAAAAACGTCGTAGCACGTAACTGTGCCAGCAGGTGGTGGCTTTCGCGCGCGGAATAAAGTCGAGGGTGGAGACAGAGAAAGCACAAAATTGACGATCCGGTTGATCGGCGGAATATCGTTGTCGCGGATAGTGGAGAAGACCGACGCGCGATTAGATTCCCGCAATATCTCTTCGAGTTCTTTTGAGAATCTAGGCCATTCTAGGCAAAGAATGCGTTTTGCAATAACGCTTCCATCAAACGTCTCGCGCCTTATTGTAATCAATTGTTTGTACACACACCAATATTTTTCCAATATTGAAGATGATCAGCTTGAGACATACCGGTATTCATTCTCGAAAATTAGAAGAGGATCCGATATGGGATTCTTTTTGGAGAATTGAGGAGATCCTGGCAAGTATCGTGAATGCTACTACAAAATTTGAAATTGCTTGTTATCGACAAAATCTACAAATCATGCCTTCATCTATAATATACATCATTAAACATAAACAAGATAGTTGTGCATTTACTGAAGATGTAGCTACATTGTAAAATAAATTGTTTCATCATTTGCGCTACTAATTTAATTATTTTGTTTGGGATAGTACTTATAATCTAGTCTTATTTTTAAGATTGATATTTTTTAGTTAATCGTTATATTTAAGACCATTTTAAATATATCCTGTATTTTCATATAATTTTTCAGAATTTCTCTATAATTTTATGACTTTCTCACATTTTTTGTACGAATTAGAACACTTCTTAGAAAATCTACATCTTTTCTCAGAATTTTTCATATATGTTAATTATGAAATATCGTAAGATTTTTAAGATTTTTTGTAAGTATAATTTTAGGATAAAATGTTACAAAATCTAAAAAATTTAAAAATACTTTTTAAAAATTATAGGATGAAAAATTTCAGAATATTTCAGAATTCATTGTATAAGAAGTTCTGAGATGTAAACTTTCTGAATATTTCTGAATACTTCTGAAAAATGTTCCAATTTGTATAAAAATTATGAGAAAAATTTTCATTAAGGTAGTCTTATTTCTTAAGATGCTAATACAGTTCTGTGATTTATGACCTCTTAAGAAACGTAAATCAATCGTGTTAGCATCTTGAGTTGTTACTTAAGATGATTTTAAAATAAGACCGGATTACTGAATACTGTAGAAAAAAATTAAAGTGTAAGTTAAATGTAAAGGGGGAGTAACAAAAGCATAAACGATGCTCTTAGGAAGCGAAAATTGAGACAATAGAATGTAAACAAGATGTTGACGCTTTTTTTTACATTTCATTATCTCAATTTCCTAGAAACTTCGTTTACGATTCTGTTACTCTCACTTTACATTTGACTTACACTTTAATTTTTATTTTTATTAGAGTATTTATAGTTTGTTTTTATTTTAACATCATTTTAATCTCTTCCTTTACATTCGACTTATACGCTGTGTCTATAATAGAGCAAACCATAAGAAATGATTAATCACTGTCGAGTGTGAGGAGAATAATCAAATATGATTGACAATTTTTTATGATTTTTAAGGCTTACTGCTCTACTGTAGATACTTTTTGCGCTCCGATTTACTTTCGCTAGAAAACCGGTTGAAGTCTGATCTCACAATCTGAAATGATCTTAATACTTCATTCAATCAATTGTATTTCGAGATCATACTTAAGACAATCTTAAAGTATAAGATTAGGCTGCGAATATCATTAATTCAAAAAAACCTTAAAATTTTTTACTCGTTTTAGTTTTTGCGAAAAAGAAACGATTTCTTGCTATCGTTCTTTCCCAAACGCTATAACTGTTGTTTTCTCTAAACTAAACAAAATATCCTCTCCTTTACATGATAATATGTCATTATATCCATTCGAAAAAAGGGATTTAGGAAAACTGATCAGAGTAAAGTAATTATGTAATTTTTTCCTAGAAAAAAAAAACGTAAAAAATAAAAAATTCAAACTCAATTTCGCACGTTCATTAACTCTTTGATATTTTTATTGCCGATAACATTTTCAAGATCATTAGAAGTCATTAATGGATTTTGTTTATACAATTTAATTTAACATATTTTAGCAACGTAAAAACAAAAACTGCTGATATAAGAACACCATCCTAACTTTTCTTAATAGCCGAACAATAGCATTCTTATATGATAGAAGCCAATGAAATAACAAAGCTCAATGTATAATAATACATTAATGACGTCTCCTCAGTGGCTTCTTGTAGTAGTAAGCCATGATGCGACAGTTGCATTATTGGTACATTAAACCCGGAAATAGTTACCTGATTTTTTTTTACGATTATCTGAAGTGTTTTTATATTCCAATTAAAATCAATATTCTTAATAACATTGTACACTATCGACTGTTTTCCGATTTATTAGTATTTGAGAATATTATTATGGATGTAAATTTAACTAGTTTTCTAAAAATTAGTAACTAAGAACTAAACAAATGTTAAACGGAAATATGCACGTTAAATAACTTATTATGACAGTATAAAAAGATAAAGATTTTACTGTATATAATGCTTTTCCATTGCGGGTTTTCGACGGAATTACATATTTAAAAGTTCGCAAAGAATAGTTATTAAAAAAGGAATATATAAAATATCGTTTATAAAAATCCAGTTTAATACTGGAAATTATTTATTCTGAGTATTAAAAATAGAAAACTCTGAACAGTACTTTTAGTGAGTAATTAATCATTATCTTTCTACAATATTAAATTTCTACAATGGATGGAGAAAACAATATTTTACAATAATTCACATTTTTTCGCAGCTGGGATGTATAAAAATACTTCAGCTGATCATTCCCTGATTAATCGACCTGTATTCGTTGTGTGATTAGCGAGAAATTGACGCGGAATCAAAATGAACAGAAAATGAAAAGTTCTGTTCGAAGTTACATGACCGGCGTCCAGGACACGGAAATATTCGTGCACCCGGATCATCGTCGGCAACCCAAGATCCAAGTCGTCGCGAACCAAGTCGTACTCTCGAAAATCTCGAGAGTCTCGAGCCGGAGTCGGAGTCGAATAAATCGCGCGTCGCGCCCGCGCGCGTCGCGCCGCGTGACCCAAATAGCGTGACGCGCGCGCGTGCGCGCGATCCGTGCTCCTGAGGGTGTGTTTTCATCCCCGCTTCGTTTCCCCCGTGCGCGGAGAACCCCTCTCTTTCTCTCCTCGCTGTCGCCGTCGCCGTCGCCGTCGTCGCCGTCGCCGTCGCCGTCGCCGTGGTTGCTGCCTTTGCAGTGCGAAGCACGACAGCTGGTGCCGTGTGACACCTGCTGCAGCGCGAGAGATCGATACTCGTTCCTCGTCCTTGCACCGTCCCCGAGGGAAACGCGAAGGGTGATGATCATGTCCCCGTCAGAGCGGCGCCTCTTGTGACTTCCTCGCCCCATCCATCCATCCATCCCGTCGCGGGCAGCCGCGGGTGATGTAGCGTCGCAGAAGGAAATTTCCTCGGAATCTATAAGTGAGTATCCGGCGACGTCTTCTCTTGGCAATTCTCCCCACAGATTCGCTTAAGTCTGCTTAAGCCGTCGTGCTTACGTCTCGTCACTCGGTAAAAGATATTTGGATTTTTTTCGGCGCGAGCGAAACGAGAATGCGCGCAACTCGCGACGCGCGCGCGAAACTGCGTGTCGAAATACCTTCGGGAGCTATAAGTGCGTGAATAATACATACACATTGCGTTGCAAGCGTTCGTCAATGTTGATCTTAGGTTCTCACGTTCATTTTACACAATTTATTTGAACTGGAAATTCACAAGAAATATTATTAGGCACGAAGTACCGCCTTGATCGAATATTTTTCACTTGTGTGTGTTTATATTCACATTCATTTCCTTCCTTTTGCGATGCAAAAGTCTTATTGCAAGTAAGGTAAACATCTCTGTGACCGAACATTATTAATTTCAAAATGCTTTTTTTAAATATAATATTATAATTTACAATTGTAACCTTTGTAATATATTGTAACAAAAATAGCATTTGAGATTAATAATAAATTTTATCTAAGTGTCCGCGACATAGGTACACTCTGGGACATTTACTTTATATACTTTTGGTAACTTTTCTCCGTTTCGTAGAAAATTGTGAAACAATTAAAGTGAAACAAAGATAAAAGCTGTTCGAAATCGTCGAGTTCGAATAGATGAAATTCAAAAAGGCGTCAATGGCATTTGTCCAAATACTCGCAGATTTCCGCAGATTCCGATCATCGATTCTGGGCGAGGGGTTAATGCACCGCAATGATTGCATCGCCAGCGAGATAGCTGTCTCTCGTAATATTTTGATATCACATTGATATGGTTTCTCAGTACGACGGCGCTTTCTGTTCGCTGTGTTTATACGCGCTCGCGACACTGTTTACGTTTCTTCTGCGCACGTGAGAGCAGGTATCGATCTCGAATGGGACGTCGAAGAGATTCCTTTAATGAATCAATGGATGTGCACGTCTGCAAGGAAGAAAGATTGTATCAGTGTGAAATTATGTGTGCGTTGTTTTATTAAGCGCTTAACAGCGACGACTCGTTAATAAAATGATAAAAGCGCGTTAAAAATACTCCAAGTTATTTTTACGGTACTTATCGAGATCCCTTCGCGACGGATATAAAAAAAACGTAACTAATTGAAGCAGCGATATCGTTTTGACAAGTGCGACATAAATTTTATCTTGTGCACCAGACAGGTGGCCGCTACGGATATTTTTAAATATCGAGGGATCAATATGGTGTGAGCTTTATTCATAAAAAGGAAATGAAAGAAAGTATTATGACCGCGTGAAGTCATTCTTGGCTGACAACAATTCAGTTCTCACCTGCGGAAATAATTAGAGAGATTTGTTATTATCAAAGAAAGCTTCATGAGCTGCTGTCCTTTCATGTGAGTATCACGTATCTTATATCTTTTGTCTATTATAAATATATCTATTATATATTTTTTTTACGATATATATTTTTACAAACGTAATATAATTAAATTTAATATAAATAAGGCACTGAGAATTATAAAACAAATATTATAGAAAAGCCTGTAAGAATCAATGTAATCATTGGGGTGGAAATTATTATTGTGTATATATTTAACAATAATTAATATCTACAGGAAAAAATTGAATCGCATACATTTTGACTTTGTGTCTTCAGTGCGCATATTAAAAAATGAAATAGTTATAAAGTTCAGATTAAATTTTCCATCGAGTAAGAATCAAATAATTAAAATATTTGAAGTCGTCACATCGTAAATTGTTAAAAAGAGAAATCATCATGTATCAAATATACTATTAATCCGTAAATAACATCTGAGCGCAAATTCGCACCAGCAAAATTTCCAACTTGTATTTAAGGAAATTAGTTTTGCTTAATAGTTTTGAATGAATAATGTTTTGTTTTTCGAAAATTCAATATTACCAATCGATTGATTAGAAAATTTTACATTGAAAAACCTAGATTTTATTTTAATTTCGTGTTTAATTTTCAAAAGATATAAAATATTAAAAACGCCTGGCGCAAAAATTGGCACCTAAGTGTTCTTTACGGATGTTCAAAAAGGAAAAGGTCCCTTAAAATTCATTGAAACTAAATAAATAGATAGAAAACATATCGACGCTCGCAATGCTCATGGAATCATTTCATTCTTGTTGTTTATTAAATAACAAAGAAAAATAATACCCGCGTTGTGAACGCTAAATGAAATCCAAGATAATGCGCGAGAGAATAAAAACTCAGGAAGAACATAAGAAAGTCAAAATAAAATAGATTTGTTTTTTTATTCCTGCAAAACTGTACTAGAATTCTCTTTCTCGCTTTCGCCAAATATTAAACATATATTTATCTCATTTTAAGTTTCAAATGCACATTAATTTAGTTACAAAAACAGATCCAATGTCACATTGACCGAATCATAATAAAAAATGACATAAATTCGATCAATAACTGGTCAGTATGATATTAAATCAACATTATTTCGACTTTCTTATTCTCTTTGGAAACTCTTGCAGGCATCTTTATAATATTTGTAATATAATTATATATTCCTTTCATATTTAAATTATATAAGCATTCTGTATATGTATATAATATCTTTGTGTCTATAATATCTTATTATATTTAAAAATATTATTTTTTATTATTAAAAAAATGTTATGTATACATATATTTATATTCTTTTTACACATTTATTTATTTATATATTCATTCATTTATTTGTTTATTGTATATTCATTCTTTTGTAAGATCAGAAATAAGTGTTGAACGCATAATTAGTGCATATTAAAGTCGTTGTAATTTATATACAAATAAAATATTTCGAATTAAAATAGAGATTTTACTTAAGCAATAAAATATATTGGGGATTTTATAGTTTAATTCATTTTTATATTTACATTAAACGCACAGTTTTACGTCATTTTATGTACGACGACTTTAATATAATACCAGTGTAAAAATCACTAAATGCATCCAATCGAGAGAATTCAAATTATTCAACAACACAAATGCCCGTATTCATAGTCAGACTTTGTACTTAAGGCTTCCTTAAATTTATCTTTAGATGCTCAGCAGCCAATATAGCAGACATAATTCATAGAGTATCTAAAGATAAATTTAAGGAAGCCTTAAATATAAGGCCTGACTATGAATACGAGTAAAAGTCTAAAATCAGGACATAAAACGTCTTCAAGATATCTTTAACCTAGTCAGGCCTTATATTTAAGACTTCCTTAAATTTATCTTTATATTTATTCTACGAATTATTTCATTGGCTGTTGAGCATCTAAAGATAAATTTAAGGAAGCCTTAAGTAGGTACAAAGTCTGATTATGAATACGGGCATTAGACGGTTCTGCAAAAATGTTTTAAGATGTCTCATTATCAGACAAACATCCTGATTTTACTTTGTGTTATCTGAGTATATTTTGAAGCTTCACGATTAATACTCTAATGTCGAATTCGATCATTTGTATGCGACTCCACGCGATTCTGCGCACACGTACATCCATAAATACAAGCGCAAACATGCTGGTCGCTGCACCTTTCAGGCTACGCAGTGGAGAGTTCACGAGAATACACGGCCGTGTACGCGTGTTTCTTTATGCCATCGTGCACGTACATTGCCTATTTCTCCCACGCTCTCCTCCGTGATTCAGCCTCGCTCTTGCCGTCCCTCCCTCTTACGACCGATCTCCAGGACCGTACATACATTATCGTCAAAAAATTTGCTTCCAAATTCCTAACATTCATACTTTTACATAGAATCAAAATTATCCATTTTTACCAAATTAAAGTAAATTAATTTTAATCTCTATTAATGTAGATTAATTTTAACTTAATTTTTACCTTTTTTTAGTTAGAGAATTAAAAAAAAGATAAAGAATAAGTTAAATCAATTAAGATTAATTTTCTATAGCTGAACTATAGTATACATTTTTGGAATTTAAAGTAAAATAGATATATTGATATTTGGCGAAAAGAAGGAAAATTCTAGTGCAGTTCAAAAATAAAAAATAAATCACAAGATTAAAATTAATGTACATTTGTAAGATTTTCTCGTAATTCGTATTCTATTCAGAATACGCACTTTCCAGTTAAAGCAAAAATCTGTTCGTCTTAACATAGTTTCACAATTAGACTTTACATTAAGTTTGCTTTTTTCAATTTTTTTTTAACTTTGAAGCTTCCACTTATTTTAAATTGTAACATAACGATAATTTGTTAAAATTAGAAATTATCATGATTTGAGACAATTCGAGTTATTCGGAAACAAAGCCTAGCTATTCCGTTATTAGATCAGTAAACACTGATTAATGGTAACATTATATTAATATTATAATTCCACATTCAATAATATAAATATAATACAATACACGTTATATTTTCTAAAACTTTTAGAATCAATTTACTCTTATAGATTGAAAATCGAGTCATTCTTTTTCAGAAATGGCTCAGGCTTCAATTTTTGAAATGAGATTCCACTCTAAAAAAAATTAGAGAGTACATTACAGATATTATATTGTGAGTAAAAAATTATAACATTAATGTTATATTGCTGTTAATTTGTGTTTACTGGATAAAATCATCAAATTGTGTTATAAGAGCCAATAAACGAGAATAGATTAAAATGAATTGAAATTTTAATCCATCCGAGTGCTTTTGTAACATTTTGGTATTCTAGTTTTACTTTTTTTTGTATATATTCAATTGGATGGAAAAACTTTTTTTTGGATTCAGTTGGATTGAAAAATCGCATTTCCTATTCAGAATTTTGAATTGTATTTTGAACAGTATATTCGCGATGTACTTAAAGAACTGAAATTTTTTTATATTGAAAAACATAAGAATGTGTTTCATATAATTCCTATAAATAAATAAAAATGTATTGCTCTGGTGAAAATTTTTTTCAAAATTTTTCTTATAATTTTTCAGAATTTCTACATAATTTTATTACTTAACTTTCTCACTCATTTTTCATACGAATTGAAACATTTCTCAAAAAATCTACATATTTTTTCAGAATTTTTCGTATATGTTAATTATAAAATATCATAAGATTTCTAAGATTTTTTTGTAAGTATAATTTCTGATGAGAAATGTTATATAAAATCTAAAAAATTAAAAAATATATTTTTTTAAATTATGAGATGAGAAATTTCAGAATATATTTCAGAATTCACTTGTGTGAAAAATTCTGAAAGAAGATGCAAACTTTCCGAATGTTTCTGAAAAACGTTGCAATTCGTATAAAAATTATGAAAAAAATTTTCGGCAGGAAGGGAGAAGGAGGGGGTGGGAGGGAATAAAAAGAATTCATTTCAACGTTTACAGATGCGTTTACCTCTGAAAATCTGAATCAATTTCAATCCGTTTCAAAATCTTCTCAAAATTCTCGTTTACTGAGCATCGAAAGTGCCGTGCTCGTGACACCCGCACACGCCAGCATATGCCACGGTGATGCCGGCGACCACAGGGCACAGGCCAGTAAGTAAGACCTGCAGCCGTGAGCCGCGGAATCGGCGGAGTGCGGAGACGACGAACGCGCGCAGCTGTAACACGAACGTGAGTCGCCGCTCGCTGCGCTGAGCGCTCTGCAGCTGATGCGACTCGCTGCGCCATCCGCTGTCGTTCACTGCCGTTGTCCTGATTGCCCTGCGCGTCCGTCTGTGTGTTTTGTTTAAGAAAAATGCTCCGCGCCGAGATTCGACATCGTCCCCGCTGATTTCGCGTGATCAGCGCCCGCGTGTGTGCGAAACGCGCGGCGATAAGACCTCGACCACGAAAAAAAAAAGATCGAAAAAAAAAAGTATTCAGCCAAAGAATTCCTCTCTTCTTTGTCGCGAAAACAATCCGTCGCCGAAACCGTCAGTACGTGATGCGGCGCGCGGAATTCGATGTGGCGTCCGTGAATTCGCTCCCTCCGCTCATCCGAATAATGGAGCGCGAGAAGCGGAGGTAGACAAAGGGCCGAGATCCCGAGACAGCCGCGCACGTCTCGCAGCTCGCTCTCATCATCGCCGAGTGTCTCGGTGATTTATTTATATATCCGCGAGACATGCAGTCGCTAACATAGAAAACGCGTCGCTCGCTCGCTCGGAAACGATCCGCGTTTCCGAGGGCTCTTCGTTTGCGAGGAATTCGGATTTTCGGAATTGACCCAGCCAAACACGCTCGGAGTTGTCCGTCGACGACGCGGTTGTGATTTCTTCGTGGATCATCTGTTTCTCTTTTGTCTCCGGAGACAGTGAGGATGAATTGATGCATTAGCGCGACATGTATCGTGATCATTGGATTTTTCAAGATTTTCGAGAAAACTCGAGTAACAGGGCTGCGTGCATTGTTGACGTTGAAACGGATGGTGGAGCGTAGACTTTAGAGCGGCGACTAGAATATATCCATTATGGAAGCGTTGCGTTTAGCTATACAGTGAGTGCTCCTTTTTCGGCAGATGTACCTTGTTATGTATTGTTTTGATCACGCTTACGCAAAAAGCAATTGATCGTAGACTGTCACTGAGAAAACGATCTGTACAGTTATCGAAATACATATTTTGTTTTAGCTTATTTCCAGCAATATTTAAAAATTGTGAATAACAATGTATATCATTTTTAAATGTATTGTTTATCTTAACAATTATAAGTTGATAAAATGTTTTATAGAAACTTTTATCTTCACAAAAACTTTTTCAAGTCTTGAAACAAGAAGTTATTTTTAAACAAATTATTGATTATAATAATGATGATGTATAAATTATATATATATTTTTAATTTATTTTTATTTACATTTTATTTGTTGCATACATTATGTATATTATATATATATATTTAATATTATTTTTTAATATTTTGTGTGCTGCGATATTTGAATTATGTTGACTTTAATTTGTAATTTTTATTTTTTGTTTAGGACACGGCTTGGGGAGAGGATGGTCAGCATGAGCTCCATGCTTGTAGAGACAGTCAGTATAAATTATGAAGACTTTAATGAGAGTTTTTTAACATGTGGTACCTGTCTCTGCGTTTACGATGGCAGCGAACATACACCTAAATTACTACCATGTTCACACACGGTATGATTTATGTATAGAATAAAATAATTAATAAATATAGAATAATATTATAATTATATATACATATTGCACGTAATATATATCTTGATCTTATATATCTTGATAATCTTATCTCTGTTTATAGGTATGTTTACATTGTTTAACAAGAATTGCTGCGTCTCAAACACGAGAGACAGGAGCATTTAGATGTCCCATTTGTAGAGAATTAATAACTATTCCTCGTGGAGGGGTACCTGCACTGCCCCCGAGTTTTCTCGTAAATCAATTACTGGATCTTATGTCTCGACAAAGACGAGAGGTATATTTGAGCAGAATATTGTCAATTTGTTATTACAGATAAATTTTTTTCTTAAATAGTCTCAATATCATTATACCTATTTACTTGCAGGTCATCCCAAAGTGTTCAGTTCATATAAATCAGGAATTATTATTTTGTGAAACATGCGATACAGTGTTCTGTACAGTGTGTACTAGTGGGACACATGCAGGAACGTCACCTGGATGCACAGAACATACAATTATCCCTTTTAGTATTGCGATAAAAAGAATGTCCGAAATACTATTGTATAAAGCTAACGAGTGTATATCCAAGGTGAAAATTAATTTTTCTTTTTTAGTTTTTAACTATATTTTATATTAATAAGTCAATGTATTATTTAATATGCTTTATTCTTATTTTTTAAATATTATATATTTATTTTTACATGCTTTATATATTTATGATGTAAATGTATATATAATGCTTTTATTCATTTGAAATACAAGTATATTGTTTAAAAAATTTTTTGCAAAAATATCTTATAATATTTTTTGTAATAGTGTTGCTTAATTTTTATGTTTTACTACACTTGCGTAGTAATTAAATAACGCGTACAAATT